TGAACCTCCAAATGCTTTCCCCTCAGCTTTGGTGGGACAGTATTTGCTGGGGCAAGTGTTTCCCCATTAGTCATCTTCCCCCTGCACCTCTCTTTATTATTCCTTCTACAGGGTCCTTATATGTTTAAGAAAATCAGACATCTGTGTAAAACTCCAGCTAGTCAAGCTAACCTTGCTGGCTTTGCACAGCAATGTTGTAAACACTTACTAATTTATAACTCCACCTTGGAGATAAAGGTAACAGCCTCAGCCACAGGCTAGGCTAAGGGTGTATCAGCTCCAATTCCCCAACAGATCATAACACATGGACTGCCCCCACCCATTTCTGTGTTCCCCCAAACTGAGGGGTGACAACCTCCTAGATGAACAGCAGCAAGTGACTTAGAGCAGTCATGTCTCCAGATAGGAAGACAGTAGAGAGAGAACGTGAGTAATGGAAAGCATCCGGGGAGGGATTTAAGACAAATAGCTATTCCAGCCTTCTCTAATTAAACAAACCTCAGGAACAAATACTTACATGTTTTACATGAGCACAGACAGGATTTCTGCAGCTGTTCTTAGTGAATGCACATCACTACATAATGATGCAGTGCAAGAACTGAACTCTTTTTATATCAATCTAGTTCTTGAACTCAAACAGGATATGAAGTGCTTCCCAATGCAAACCTTTTTTCATTATGAACTGATCCTTCTTCTTGGATCTAATCAACAGGCCAGTTGTTTTTTTCTTCCAATCAATATTTCTGATATCACATATTCTCCAAAGAAGAATCTCAAAATGAAATACAATTAAGTTTCAGAAATCAGTTTTGGATGCAAGAACAAGTTTCACGTGTTCTCAAGTTTGATGCTGGCATTCAAGCAGCATTTATGCATATCAAGGGATCCCAAACATTTATCACTAAGATATTATGTGGAAACATTGATGATCACTGTCTCTCCTGTTTGATTCCCTAACATATTTTTCCATTATACATTTGCTTAACAGATACCAGTATCCAGAAGGAAGCTGTGGTTTATATTACAAGTGGGTGTGAGCTGGGAGCAGTCAGCATACATAACCAAGCAGGTTTTCAGAACTCTGCCAAGTATCCTGCAGGTCAATCAAGAGAACCACAGACATACCCAGCACTATTTGCACATAGGAACAGATATGTGCATAGACACCATCTAGAGGTTTCGGTTCCCTCCCTACAGATTTTCTGTCCCTATTTTTCCTACGACTTTGTTCTCTATAGTCCGGAAAGGTTTTTTGTTTGTTAAGTATTAACTCTTTTCTGCTTTGTGACAACAGATACTGAAGGTATCCTTTCATCAAGCTACTGATTGACAGCTTCTATTAATTTCAGGACTGCACAACAGGTCCTGTATTACAAGTTAGTCTTACTACAT